CCAGGGCCCAGGGCTGGGAGTGGGGGGTTCTGCCAGGGCCCAGGGCTGGGAGTGGGGGGTTCTGCCAGGGCCCAGGGCTGGGAGTGGGGGGTTCTTCCGGGCCCAGGGCTTGAAGTGGAGGTTCTGACAGGGTCTAGGGTCTTTATTGCCATCTTGGCTTCAGTACTGTGTCCATTTCTTAGAATTCACCGAGCTGGACAGTTCACATACAGGAATCGGATTGTGCATACAGTCCACTGCAAAGGCTGGAGGGCCACTGCTTTCCTCACTGTGGGGGCAGTAGCCAACGGGCTCTGGGTTGGCAGGAGGTGGGTTAGTGGGTCTATCCCATTCCTTCATCTTCCCCAGATGTGGTGTGGAAGGCTGAGAGGATTGCAGCATCAGCAGAAATGGAATCAAGAGGTTCATTTTCAAGATGGTTCTATTGCAGTTGACCAAAAACCCAACTCAGCCCTCTGCCATCAAGTGGATTCTGACTCACAGTGACCCTGGTGGGCAGAGCTGACCTGCTCCGGGGCATTTTCTCATCTTCCTCCCAGTGAGCTACTGGAGGGTTTGAACCACCAATCTTAAGGTTACTTAGCCCACTGTGCCACCAGGGCTCCTCAATGCTGTTGATCATTCTAGTGAGTTGAGGACTGAGAACTGGCCACTGACCTTGCCACATGGTCTCCAGTGTTCTTCCCAAGTGACATCACAGGTACCACGTGGTTCGCGGGTCTGAGAGAGGAGCATTCTGAGAATTGGATACAGTGAATGTAGGTGTTTGGGGGAGGGGTTCTTCAAGCTGAACAAGAAATGTGCTGAGGGAGGGGTTTTGTCAGCCGGGAGAACCGGGGCAGGTGTGAGTGCTGTTGGACAAGGTGGGCACTGAGTTGGGGTGTTGGGGTAGGGGAAGGCCAGGCCTTGAGAACAGAACATGGGACCTAGTGGGTGCAGGTAGACACCCGGCACACAGGACAGTGGACGCCCTCTTGACGTCAGTCAGGCAGGAAGCAGCTTATCTGCAGAGAGCAGTCTACGTTGCAGCCATGTCGTCAGCAGGGGGCTGACCCAAGGGGGCAGTTATTTTGTGTCCCCCGCCCCCATCTTTTCAGACCCATCCTCCCATGGCTGCCATATTCAGCGTGGTGAGCTCCATTATTTAGACAAATTGTTTCTTCTCCATAATCATTTTTACAGATTCTAAAATTTGGGGAACATTTCATCTTGAGTGTTTACAGAGTACGTTTGTTTCATGACACTGATTGCTATAAATAACAGGACTCCCCTCCAGTTACTCCGTGGGGTCCCGGTTCCCATTCGTCCTTCGTTTCTCCTTCCTGCTCCCCTTTTGGTCTCATATGGTTTGTTGTCCATTTGACAGGCCTGCCTGTTGGCTAACTGGAAGGTCATCATCCCCAGCAGTGGGCTTAGTTTCAGGATTGAAGGGTGTCCAAGGGGCTCTACCAGCCTGTATCAGACCAGTAAATGTGGCGGATGTTAAATTCTCTTCTACAATGTTTTCCCTCTCTCTTCAGGTGCTTCTATTGTGATCCCTGTCAGAGTGGGTGGTAGGGGACCAGGCACCAGTGGGGGGTCTTCTGGTCTCAGGTGTGTGGAGCTTGTGGTTTATGTGTGCCATTGGTCCATGAGTCTTTGACCCAGATGGAAAGAGACCACTCGTTGTATCTTAGACGGCTGCTCGAAAGCTTAGAAGACCCCAGGCACTGCTCATCCAGGTAGGATGCACAGCATTGTCAGTATGGACTGTGTTATCAGTGACTCAGTCCCTCAAGGTGCAGGACTAGGCTTGGAGAGCTCTGTGCTCTCGTTGTGGCTTTGCTGTGTGGCAGGCTTTCCGTAGTTACCTCAGTTGTGCTTGGCTCCATTGCTAAGTTGGTTCTGACTCTTAGCGACCTCATGTGTAACAGGTCCTGCGCCATTGTTATGCTCTTGAACATTTGAGGCCGTTATTGAGGTGTTTGTTTCAGTCCATCTCGTGGAAGTTCCCCCCACTCCCACCCCTTTCCCAAATAAGCTGTTCTTGCCGAGTGCTCAGCCTTTCTGGATTATCTGTCCAAAGCAGGAAGATGAACTCTCATCCCCTCACCACTAAGGAGCATTTGGGTTATGTTTCTTCTAAATTTGTATTGGAACTTTTAGTAAATATTTGTTGAATTAATGCATAAATGAATTTTCATAACCACAAAACAATTTATGAAGTAAAGTTCACATAAAGTTAATTAACCATTTTAAAGTGACTAACCCAGTGGTGTTTAGTGTATCCACAAATGCTCCAGTTTTATGGGTGGAGAACTTTGGATCACTGGCTATTAAGTGCGCACTCAGGGTATAGAGTGGGTTACATAGTCCAGGTGTTCCCTTGACTCCATTGTAAGACTCTTCATTTCTTCTGCAATAGGCCCGGTACAAGCAGAGCCTGGATCCAACCGTGGACGAGGTCAAGAAGCTTTGCACATCTTTGCGCCGAAACGCCAAGGAGGAGCGGGTTCTGTTCCACTACAATGGGCATGGGGTGCCACGGCCCACTGTGAACGGCGAGATCTGGGTCTTCAACAAGGTGGGCATGCTGTCCTGGTGCTTTCTCTTCAAACATCAGACGCTCGGGTGTTTTAATCTGGTGCAGCAGACAAGCAGTAGCAAGGTGGAACCGGGCCGGCGTGTTGCTCTTCTGCTGGGAAGTTGTGGAATAATGTCCACTTCAGTGGTAAAACCAGAAGAATGGCCAGGCAGAGTGGTTTCGGTTGCAAAGCGTGTTAATGGGATGGCCGTCTGGAGGTCATGGGTCTGATCCATGGGATTTGAGTTGTTTGTAGTTCTTTGAGGAAGGACCTCAAGAGAATCTGCCTTTTAGTTTGAGTGATTGCAAGGTTTTTCCATTTTGTCAGAATGTCCTTTGAGAATCATTGATTTTCTTTGAAAAAGACATGCTTTCTGTATTCCAAAGAGAGTAACCAGGTGACCCTGCAGGCTGTGCCTAAGCTCAGCCGTCTCCAGAGGCTCTCTATTCCTGAGGCTGCAAATGGGGGCAGGGGAGGGGACGCCCTGCCTCGTCTTTGAGACTTGTGAGGGGCGGGTTTTTCCCTGTCCTACCCTGAGGGCCCATACAGCAGCACCCACATCATGTGTAGGAGTCCCCCATCCTGTAGAAGAGCCTTTCTTTACCCCACAATCACAGAAGTATTCTGCTATCTGTACTCCAAAATACCTTTCTCCACAGAATTTGTCTCTCTCATCTACCTAGAATGGATCTTTTACGTGTAGTGTTAGGGAGCCCTGGTGAAGCTGTAAGATAAATATAGGATTGCTAACTACAAGGTTAGCAGTTCAAACCTACCTGCTGTTCCATGGAAAAAAGATGAGGCTTTTTGCTCCCATAAAGATTTTCAGCCCCCCAGACACCCTGTCAGAGTTGCTATGAGTTAAAACCGACCTGATGGCATGCAACAACTGTATTGTTGTTGGTAGCGGTGTTGTTAGTTGTTGCTATGAGTCGTAGTGACTCACACGACTCCGTGCACAACAGAATGAAACACTGCCCGGTCCAGCGCCAACCTCACAATTGTTGCTATGCCTGAGTTCATCGATGCTGCCACTTGGCCAATCCATCTCATTGGGGGTCTTCCTCTTTTTCTCTGACCATTCAGTTTACCAAACATGATATCCTTCTTCAGGAACTGGTCCCTCCTGACAATATGTCTGGAGTATGAGCGAGAAAATCTGGCCATCCTGGCTTCCAAGGAGCACTCTAGCTGTATTTCTTCCAACAAAGATCTGTTTGTTCTTTTGGCAGTCTACGGAACTTTTAATGTTCTTCTCCAACACCATAGCTCACATGCATCAGTTCTTCTGCGATCTTCCTTATTCACTATCCAACTTTCACGTGCATATGAGGTTATTGAAAATATATGACTTATTCAGGTGCACCTGAGTTCTCAAACTGACATCTTTGTTATTAAACACTTTGAAGAGGTCTTGTGCAGCAGATTTTCCTAATGCAACACGTCGTTGGATTTCTTGACTGCTGCTTCCATGAATGTTGATGGTTGTCCTGAGCAAAATTAAGTTTCTGACAACTTCAATCTTTTCTCCATTTATATGAATGTTGTTAATTGGTCCAGTGGTGAGAATTTTTGTTTTCTTTACATTGAGGTGTAATCCACACTGAAAGCTGTGGTCTCTGATCTCCAGCAGTAAGTATTTTAAGTCCTTATCGCTTTCAGCAAGTCAGGTTGTATCATCTGCATATTGCAGGTTGTTAATGAATCTTCCTCTAATCCTGATGCCACATTTTTCTTCTATAACCCAGCTTCTGGGATTCTTTACTCAGCATGCAGGTTGAATAAGTATGGTGAAAGAACACAAACAACCTTGGTGTACACCTTTCCTAATTTTAAGCCATTCACAGTGTTCCTTTGTTCTGTGACAACAACTGCCTCTTGATCTATGTACAGGCTCCTCAAGAGCACAATTAAGTGTTCCAGAAAACTCATCCTCTGCAACGTTGTCCATAGCTTGTCATGATCCACACAACTGAAAGCCTTTGTGTGGTCAGTAAAGCACAGGTAAACATCTTTCTGCTATTCTGGGCTTTCAGTCAAGATCCACCTGACGTAATGATATCCCTTGTTCCACGTCCTCTACTGAATCCAGCTTGAACCTCTGGAAGTTCTCTGTCAATGTACGGTTGCAACCATTTTTTAATTAAACAAAATTTTACTTGCAACCCATATTAATGATATTGTCCAATGATTTCTGCATTCCATTAGGTCACCTCTTATTGAAATGAGCACAAATATGGGTCTCTTCCAGTCAGTTGGCCAGGTAGCTGTCTTCCAAATTTCTTGGCAGAGATGAGTAAGTGCCTCCAGTACTGCATCAGTTTATTGAAAGATTTCAATTTGCATTCCATCAATTCTCGGACCCTTGTTCTTTGCCAATGCCTTCAATACACCTTGGACTTCTTCCTTCAGTATCATTGGCTCTTGGTCATATGCTCCCTCTTGAAATGGTTGAACACTGACCGTTTCTATTTGGTGCAGTGACTCTTGATGCTTTCTGCTTTTTGTCTAATGTTGTTAAGTGTCATCACATTGGTTCCAATTCACAGTGACCCTGTATAGGGTTTACAAGGAGTGGCTGGTGAGTTTGAACTACCAACCTTGTGGTTCAAACTAATCTTATGGTCCAGAGCTATAGCCCATAGCGCCACACCAGGACTTGCCCCTAGAATCCTTAAATGTTGCAAATTGAAGCTTGAATTTTTTTCTTTTCAGTTCCCTCAGTTTGACAAGTGTCTTCCCTTTTGGTTTTTAACTCCAGGTCTTTGCACATTTCATTATAATATTTGACTTTGTCTTTTTGAGCTGGCCTTTGACATTTTCTGTTGAGCTCTTTTACCTCCGCATTTCTTCCACTTACTGTAGCATCTCTATGCTGGAGAGGAAGTTTCAGACATCCATTTTGTTCTTTTCCTTCTTTCTTGTTTTCTTAATGACTTTTTGCTTTCTTCTTGAGGTCATCCCACAACTCTTCTGCTCTTTAGTGCCTAAGGCATCAAATCTGTTCTTCAGATGATCTCTAAATTCAGGTGGGATTTATTCAAGGTCATATTTTGGCTCTTATGGACTTGTTTTCATTTTCTTGAGCTTCAGCCTGAACATGCATATGAGCAATTGATGGTCTGTCCCTGGCCTTGTTTTGGTTGATGATACGGGGCTTTTCCACCGTCTCTTTATCAAGATGTAATCAATTTGATTTCTGTGTAATCCATCTGGTGAGGTCCATGGGTATAGTTGTCTTTTATGTTGTTTAAAAAAGGTGTTTGCAATGAAGAAGTCATTGGTCTTGCAAACTTCTGTCATGCAGTCTCCAGCATTGTTTTTATCACCAAGGCCAAATTTTTCCAACTGCTGATCCTTTTTGTTTGCAACCTTTGTATTCCAATCTCCAGTAATTATCAGTAGATTTTGAGTGCATGTTTGATCAGTTTCAGACTGAAAAAGTTGGTAGAATTCTTCAATTCCCTCATCACTGCCTTTAGTGGTTGGTGCATATGTTTGAATAATAGTGGTCTTGTAGGTGTATGGATATTATCCTATCACAGACAGCATTGTATTTCAAGACAGATTTTGCTACGTTCTTTCTGATGATGAATGCAACATCATTCCTCTTCAATTTGTCATTCCTGGCATAGTAAACCATAGATGGTCAGTTCATTTTAGCTCATTAAGCCTAAGGTACTGAGGTTTATGTGTTCTGTTTCATTTTTTACTATTTCCATTTTTCTTAGATTCATACTTCATACATTCCATGTTCCAATTATTAATGTAAGTTCTCTTCATTTTAAGTTGTGTCCCATCAGCAAATGAAGGTCTTTGGTCCATTTGTGTCATCAGGTCAACTGTACTTTGAGAAAGCAGCTCTTTCCGAATCATATTCTCAGTGCCTTCCAACCTGAGGGGCTCATCTTCCAGCACTGTGTCTGACAAGATTCTGGGGCTCTTCATCATGTTTCAGTATTTAATATTCTGATGCTGACAGCGTTCCACTGCTAATCATAAGGTTTTCAGTGACTGATCTGAAGCAGTCCTTTTCTCCTTCTTCCTAGTTTGTCTTCGTCTGGAAGCTCAGCTGAAACCTGTCCACCCTGGGTGACCCTGCTAGAATTTAAAATAATCCATGGCATAGCTTCCAGAATCACAACAACATTCAAGCCACCCAAGTATGACAGACTGACACATGAGTGGTGGAACTACTGTGTAGTTAGTGAAATCCACGTTCATTTTCTTTCCCCAAATAGACACCACCTCGTTCATGACTAGTTCTTAGCAACTCAGAATGCAATCAAGTTTCCATGTTGTGTGTGTGTGTTTCTGAGCTCTCTGTTCTTGTTCTACCAGTCTACCTCTAACCAGTTAACTATTCTAATTAGCACAGGTTTTCAGAAATTCTTAGTTTATTTGGTAAGGTGAGTGCCCCTTCTTTGTTTTGCACAGGTGTCTGGACTATTCTTGGCACTTTAATCCTCCGTGGAAATACAGAACCAGCTTGTACTAGAAATTGTCCGACATCAACATCTTCCCAATGTTGCATGTGTGCATTTCTAAACTGTCCATCGGTGCTGTGTGTTTCCTCCACAAGGGGTTTTGTGCCGTGAGCTGGATGGATCATGTGGTGCTGTATGGTTTTGATGCTGTTAGAGGTGTTTACTATAAAAACACTTCTCTAGTGTTTTCATGGTATTTAGGATAGGAGGCAGTTCCTTGTTGTAAACAGTCTTACTAACCTCTCCTAGTGATTCTCGTAATTTATCAGGACGTAAAGTCTAGTTTTTCTTAATAAACAGGGACAGCTTTATTTCATCCTTTCCAGTCTTGTCATTTTTATTTCTTGTTCTGGCCTCCCTGTGCGGTGGCGTCGTGATCCTCAGAAGAAAATCAGTGCTCATGGTGTCTCTAGGTCTGGTCTGTGCAGGAGGCTTTGGGCAGAAACAAATGCCCTGCTGCACACTGGGCACATTGCCCTGCTGTCATTCCCAGTGTGTTTAGTTAAATCATG